CCAAAATTCTCCTTGACTCCTAGTCTCACCTATCTTCCTGGGGCAATTGGTCAAACAGTGTTTTTTTTTTTTTTTTTTTCATCAACCAATAAGAGAAAAATATATACAGAAGGACATTCCCCATCATCAGGGTTCTGTTGTTTTCAACAGTAGGTGGTAGAAAAGGCAACATAAAACCATAAAAGGTTGTGGGCTTTGGGGGTGCTTCCTCTTCAGTAGCCCAGGGCTGTGCAGTTGGGGATACTTCTTACAAGTGGAGGAGGGAGGGGAAAGTAAGAGGACCCCAGGGGTAGTTAGAGGAACCAGACTTGGAGGAAAGATGAGATGGAGAAGCCCCAGGTGGCAGAAGTGCAGGGTCCTCTTGAGGATAGGTGGTCAGGGCCCTGGTTTTATTGGGAGAATGGAATAGGAGGTTTGGCACTTTCTCAGCCATGAAAGGGGAGTTTCTAAGAGATCTGCCCAGGTTAGAAAATAAGGTATCTGATCAGGATGACTCTTTCAGCAACAGGTACTGAGTTTATAACCTAGACCCAAATCAAAGGATCCTTGTGGAGGCCAATTTATACCCAAACTAGGCCATTCTACTTCACTGCGTGTTCATATGTCCATCCCTTTTGGACGAAAAACAAAACTCTTGGCTCTGGATCTAAAGAAGTTTTGGGGTCAGACAAGAGCTCTGCTTCTGTCCCATATTAGAGATAGAGGAACTTAACACACACACACACACACACACACACACACACACACACACACACACACACACACACACATCCTTTCTTCATGTTTAAGGACAATTAAAAGACAGATGAGTTCACAAAACACAACAGACCATGAGTACCTTGGACATCTCCGAGGACCCCAACTAAGCATAGTATGGCTATGTCCAGCCTGCTATACTGATCCTAAACTCCAGAAAATTACCAGAATGCTTTTTTGGGGTTTGGAGGACCAGGGCAGAGGAATTGCTCTTCAGAGATCTCCCCTGACCAACTGGCTTCCAGAAGGTCAGAAGGTCAGAAGGCCTTAGGGCCTTGTACATTTAGCTCAAGGAATATGGATCTCTGTGGGACCTCCAAATGTAATGGACTGAATCCTGAACCCGAACCCAATAAGGGAATGAACACCAGACGGTAAAGCCTCAAGAGTTTATTATCTGATGGCCAGGCAGCCCTTCTGCTAGGGAAAGAAATGTGTACCATCTGCAGAGACCATCAGCTCATCTTTTATATAAATGTTTATATACAAACAGAAGCAGGCAAGCAGACTAAGAGGGCCAAGGAAGAGCAGTTAGCTTGAGCTATACCACAAAATCGTTTTAAAAAATTTGAAGTAACAGACATGGCTCCAGCTGTGAGCCAGATTGGGCAACTTCATATGTTATCCCCTTCCTGTGTGAGCCAGTCTGAAGGACTTTGATGCTATCTATCTCTTTCCTGTGATAGCGCCTTCCTCAAACACATTGAACCCAGGTAAAGAACAATTCAACCCTTGGGCTGCTTTCCTTGCTTTTAGAGAAGACATTTTTCTCCTAGGTCACATCAAAGGGAAGCCTTATTTATTACTGGTGTGGGTGAGTGGGTGGGTGGGAGCTGCAAATTAACACCCAGAAATGGAAGTCAGTCTGAAGATGATTTAAAAAATTAAAGGCACCAGGTGTTGGTGGTGCACACCTTTAATCCCAGCACTCAAGAGGCAGAGGCGGGCAGTTCGAGACCAGCCTGGTCTACAAAGAGCTAGTTCCGACAACCTCCAAAGCCACAGAGAAACCCTGACTGGGAAAACTAAAAAATAAGTAAATAAATAAATAAATAAATAAATAAAATTAAAAACGTAACTAAAGTAAGACCTACCTCCTTCACACCTGGGCATACATCCAGAAAACACCACACCTCACTAGAGATAATTTATATCCCATGGTTAATGGTACAGTGTTCACATTAGCAAAGAACAGGAATCCACCTGACTATTTATCCCCAATGAATGGACAATGAGAATGGTAGACATATACAATGGAAGACTATTCAGCCGAAGAGAAAATTGTAATAAGAATCTGCAGGAGCCGGGCGGTGGTGGCTCACGCCTTTAATCCCAGCACTCGGGAGGCAGAGGCAGGTGGATCTCTATGAGTTCGAGACCAGCCTGGTCTACAAGAGCTAGTTCCAGGACAGGCTCCAAAGCCACAGAGAGACCCTGGAACCTGCAGGAGAATGGATGAAATCAAATTGTGTAATTGTAAGAGAGGTCATGCAGTATCAGAGAGAAGAGACCACATTTTTCCGAATATGGAGAATCGAGCATGAAAATGTGTTTCTGGGAACAACAGACACGTGGGCACAGCAGAATATGGAGAAAAGAGAACAAGAAAGGTTATCTAACAGGAGTTGGAGATGGGACTGGATGAGGTAACGAGCACCAGTTATGGAAAAGGATGTAAAGCTGATTGCTTCATTTTTATTTATTTATTTATTTATTTTTGATTTTTCAGCACAGGGTCTCTCTGTGGCTTTGGAGGCTGTCCTGGAACTAGCTTTAGCAGACCAGGCTTGTCTTGAACTCACAGAGATCCACCTGCCTCTGCCTCCCCAGTGCTGGGATCAAAGGCATTGCCACCACCACCTGGAGCTAATTGCTTTCTTAGTTCTGAGTCTGTCACAGGTTTTTTTGTTTTGTTTTTTTTTTTGATGGTAGATAAGTACATCAAAATACACTGAATATTGAAACTATAAAGTCAAATGTGAGACTACAGAGCTTCTGTTCCCAGTGACTTTTCTAACTATATAAACATATACTGAATTATACAATCTTTGGGTCTGGTTAACTTCAGTGTGTGATTTTTGTTTTATTTGTTTGCAACATTTTTCATAATAAAGTTGAAAAAAAATCAGAATCAGAAAATCAAAGACTTCTGATGTCTCAAACTACAACACTTGTACAAAATAGGAGGAAAGGACCACTGACCTGGATCAGACTAACTGCGGAGTCAGCCATTTCTTACTGTTTCTCTTCTTTGACTTTCTCTTTGAGGAACAAGGAATAGATGGCTTGCTGTCCTATCATAGTAAGGGGTCAAAAAGCAAGTGCGAAAATTAATACTGAAAGCTGTTAGAGAACGATATTAAACCACATGAAAAGTCCCGAGGAAAAGAATAAAACCAGTTGTCCAATCCCAAAGCCTGCAAAGTAACATCAAAGAGCAACACTCGATATAAGAGCAGGAAGAAAAAAAATAGTACTATGTAAAATTTAAAAAAAATCCAGGGAAAAATAATAATTAAAAGTATGATGAGACAGACTATGCAGCAATTATTTTTGTTAGCTATCTATTTATTGTACAATGGACAAAACAATAAAAAATAGAACGGAAGCAAATGATAATATAATTAATAAATAAGAAAATCAATTGAATACACCATGCTCAACAACAACTGAAATGGCCAATATGTACATGTTAAAAAGTTTGACATTGTAGGTCATAAGATATAGTAAGTTTAATATACAGACATTCAAAATCTCCCTAGTCAGCATCCACACTCAGGTTCCTAAACAATATGCATTTCTTTCAGTAATTTCTTGAAATGGCAATAGATAATATTCCCTAAGCAAATGATGTAAACAGACTACAGCATTCACAGAAAGAGAAATGACAGTTGAAATCAAAACATGTATTTTCTACCAAAAATTTCATATCTACATTTTATACAACGAACTGAGAAAGTAGGGATTCTTTTTTTTTTTTTTAAATATCACTAATAAGGACAGAAATAAAGAAGATTGATGATCATAATCAAAATAGTGACAGAAAAATCAAGACAAAAGCTGAAGAAATGAGTAGATACTCTTCACCAGGTTAAGTGCCTGGTAAAGGACATGAAGATGAAGTCCCTGGAGGAGATCTACCTACCTGTTCTCCCTGCCATTAAGGAATCCCAGATTATTGCATCCCTAAAGGATGAGGTTTAAAGATCATGCCAGTGCAGAAGCAGACACAGGCTGGTCAGTGGACCAGGTTCTAGGCTTTTGTCACTACTGGTGACTACAATGGTCATGTTGGTCCTGGTGTTAAGTGCTCCACGGAGGTAGCCATTGGCATCCTAGGGCACATCATCTTGGCCAAGCTTTCTACTGTCCCTGTACGAAGAGGCTACTGGGGAAATGCTGTTCCGTAAAAAAGTGACAGGCCGCTGTGGCTCTGTGTTGGTGCCTCTCATCCCTGGCCCCAGAGGCTGTCTCTGGTCCAGGTCTGGAATAGCTTCGGAGGATAGCCAGTATTGATGACTGCAACTTATCAGCCAGGGGTTGCACTGCCACCTGGGCAACTTTGTCAAAGCCAACTTTGACAGCATCTCCAAGACCTACATCAACATGACCCCTGACCTTTGGAAGGAGACTGTGTTGACCAAAAGAGACTATGTTCACCAAGTCTCCTAATCGGGAATACACTCACTGTCTTGTGAAAAAATCCACACCAGAGTCTCAGAGGTTCAGATAAACCAGGCTACAAATTGTAGCCACCACGTAAGAGTTTTTATACAAGAAAAATAAAGTGAATTAAGTCTCTTTAGAAAAAAATACAAAATAAAAAGTGTTAGCAAATTAGATAGATAGAAGTTGTTTGATCAACATGGGTGCATCCCACAAAAGCTAGAACACAGACATCCACATCAGACAGAAAACAGAATTCATAAAACATGTGAAAACTGGCACATTGCCTCATGTTCTTGTCAAACACGAGAAGACAACCTAGAAGGACATCTGTCTTCTCTAAGCAATTCCCATTACAATGGTAATTGCATATTTTACTGAAAGTACCAAGGAACAGCAAAAAGACAGAAAATACTAAGAGGATCAAACTTAGAGGTGATCTCACGGTGTGTTACAATCACAGCAATGGAAACCACTTGGAATTGCCATGACCACCGACAATAAGAGCGTTCTATGAGAAGACAGTGTAGACAGAGTTAACAGTCTGTAAATATACTTCCTGATTCTTTCCAAAACTCTGTTGTCATTATTTTCAGCAATAGAGAAATAAACCATAAAAGGTAGAGAATGTGCTAGAATAGCAAAGCTCCAAAGCTGTGAAAATATATAAATCTAGGGATATTAATGTTCATCATTTTACAATATATTAAAATCACAGACATGAAAACAATATGATGGCATGATCCCTGGAGTGAATTAATAGGAACTGCATCACTCACATGCACAGTCAAATAAAATTTTATCTGCCTCTTAGTGTCAATTCTTCCTTAGAACCTCTTCACACACCTACAAAAGGATAATCCCAAGGAGACTTTTCTCAGTGCAAGTCTCCAGAATTCTTTCTAGGGAAACAGAATGTGGTCGA